CAGGACGTAGATGTAGATACGGATAGGGGTAAACCGGGTAACCAATCCATGACTCCTTCACCCTTAGATCGCAAGACTAAGGCCAACGAGGCGGAACCTCGCGTGATAGGCTGGTTCTCACCAGGGTCAGTCCTATCACAAAATTATAGTTTATAACCTCACTCTGCTTGGTAAGGTAGAGCCCTATGTTAGTCAAATAGGCACCCCCCGGTTTCTTAGTGAAACTCATCAAGGTGAGGTTTGGTGGGCTAGCTTATAGCTATTCTATCACTCAGGGATCCAAAATGGAGCAACTGGGGGTGACGCGGAAGCCACCCGGGTGGGGTCAGATATGATATCAAGCGGCCTCATGCAGGTAACCAAACCAGCGTAGGAAGCTTATCTATTTAGATAATAGGCTTCCATCTGGAAAACTTTTTTTATAGGATATCTATAGTTAGACTCATCCAATGGTGGAAGATCTTCGGCTACTAAAGTCAATGTGTAATAAGTTGATTTTAGTAGTCACTGATGGTCTAACCTAACCAAGGAGCTCTGTATCGGAGCATACCTCTTTGCCAAGCAGGTAGTTTGAATCGCCGGTCAGGCGCTCTGTTTACTGCTTTATATCTGAAGCAGTGCGCAGTAACACTTCAACAGGCGTACGGTGGGATTACCCCGTATGATATTCATACTAAACTATCTGTACCCGTATCACTCACTAGATCAGGTTACCCTAGGATCAGACCATCCTTTCATAGACAACAAATCTATATATAAAAGGGATGATAAAGCTGATATGCTAGTTAAACTCTACTTATCGTTCTTTAGTTTATCTAGAGAGATTAAGTTAGCAAAACGGATTTCTCCGTCTTTGTTTGCTAGCATAACTGATCCTATGTCTGACGTTCACAAATTTTAAGAAGTCAGAGATTGGCTACGAGGGTTAATACGTAAACTAGCCAATCGGTACCTATATCAAGCCCTCTCACGCCCCCTTTACCAGGGAATCTCGTGGGAACCGACTTGGAAGGCTCTGCCAACGGATCGTAAGCGACCTGGTCAGTCTCGCCGTGAAAGAGGCATATTTGCCAATTTTACATCACAGTGACTCTGGTTCGCTATGCTCCGTTTATCGATGTCTGTTAACCCTGCATTAGCATTAGGAATGACGCAGAAGCTTACATCGAAAGGATCAGCAGCCTTTTTTATGGTCATCCATTACCACCTCGTGATGAATGGGATGATTGGCTATCCAATATATCAGCCAATAGTTCTGTTACAATTCAAAAATGTATTCTGATGGAGTTTGACAGTACTGGTGACTTATTTTGCTATCCTGGCGGGTTCTCGCATTCAGTTGAGTCTGGTGCGGGCAAGAGGAGGGTGTTTGCCATAGGAAACTATGTCAATCAGAGGCTTCTCCGACCTCTCCAGCCCCGAAATTAGGCTCTTTTCCTTCTCTACGACCACAGACTTAAGTTAGAAGATCCACCGGAGATAGTCCTTTCTTTGACCTACCTTGACTTTAGTGGGTCTACGAATCCGCGGAGGGACAAGTCTGCTAGTGACCAAGCATCGAGTCAAGATAGGAGCAACCCCCCATTCAAACCAACCTCTAAAACAAGTTTTCACTAGGTTTTATCTGGAAGGCGGGAAGAGCTCTATTGGAGCATTTGGGAGGGAAGCCCTACAGTAATGGGATCCGTTACTTGACTTGTGAAGCCCTGTGCTCGAAGCAAAATAAGATTACTTGCACAAAGAAAGTGACCAAAGATATATTAAAAACTTAGAAAGAAAAAGGCGCAGAACGTTGCAGGAGTTCCTGGAAGTCAGTCAACTCTTGCCTATAGTCGGGCAATCAATCCATCCTTCGTCTCGGGCACAAAATAGGAACTCTTGTACTGGAAAAGAGAAGGACGCAATGCCTTTCTTTTACTTACCCTTTTTCTTATCTTATGTATGATATTTATAGTGACCCAGTAATGCCCCATCAAAGAGCCTATTCGTCGTAAGCCCTTTTAACCCTCACAGCTGATTCGACGGGATGCGGATTCTCGAACAAGAACACATGTAGCTCCTTCTCAAAGACCGGATTCTCAAGCAGGGGTTTTGAAGCTTCTTCTATCATTCTCGGTATCAACAAATTACCTCCTCGTATTACGTATTAGAAAAAAAGGTAACCAGATCTCCTCACTGGAGTTCTTTGCATTGGGCTCGCTCGGTTCGTCTGTTCATTGTAGGAAAGCGTTTATGGAGCAGGAACCTATTTTTTGAGGTCAGCTCGCTTTCTTTCTCTGATCCCCAATATGAGTGAGACCAAGATGGCTGACTGGAGTGCCACAAATCAGCTGGTCATGTCATGGCTTCTAAATTAAATTTTTCCTAAAATTTCTACCAGTCTTATATTTAAGACATCGGCTAAACAGGTATGGTCTAGAGGAGCTAGAATCCTTAAAGGCTATTCCTGACCGATTCCCTTTCGTCTCTACTAAGATGGACGAGAAGAAGGATAAGAATTGGTTTACCCGGTTGGACTATTCCGGAATCTTCTTCTTCGAATTAGCCTCAAAGGCAGGGTCTTATGAGCTCGTCTATTGTGTTTTTTACATGGATAAGCCTCTTCTCTTATGGGCTGGCCGTCCTTCTATTTCGATGAATGGATTGACCATGAGCTTACAGTGCCTTGTAGAAAGCATAGCCTCATTGTTCACTCACCGAAGATTATTCTCTTCACATAGATCTCGGGATACGAGACCTTCCTTCAACTACGAACTAAGCAGCCTTGAAAGTTGAAAGAAAGGAGTAGTGAAATGAAAGAAGAAGGGAATTCGTTATTGGATAGTCCCATCCCAATCCAATACGAAAACGAGTAATGAGCCCCTTTATGTTGTGGGCAGCAGAGATTAGATTCTTATTCTTCTCTTTGCTTTGGTACCAGCCTTGATATCTCAATCTTGCAAGGCACGACAGGCATCAGAACGAACTCCGCGGAGAGCCACTCTTTGGTCCAATAAAGAGACAGATCAGCATCCATAGAATCTATCTAGAAAGAGGCAGTCTGCCGCATCAAGAAGAAGCGCACATCTTTTTTTCGAGAATCTATCCCCTTTCTTACCGGAAGTTACATTTTTGAATATCTCCATTAAAGGAAGATTGGAGGGGATCTTTACCTAAAGGTGCGGAGCGAAGTCTGCATTTATTGCTAGTTCTTCTCCCAGTCTCGGACTCAGCCTTTTAGCCGATTCGCACCTTTACTCTCTGTCTCAATCGAGCCGGTCAGATCAATAGAGAAGTCAGGCACTCGATAGACTGAAAGGAAGGTTCCGCCCGTAAATTTATTGATCAATGTTACCGGGAAGCAGCAACAGAGACAGATTGAGTGCTAAAGCTTCTGTCCCGTAACGGTTGATCCTTCGGATTTTCGCCTTCAATGACCTATTGTAGTGTAGGAGGTGGCCTTCCCAAGGCCAGAGGACTGGTGACAACAGTACCATAACGGTTTTTATTTTAAAGCAACACAGGTTACCGCGCGAGGTCGTGGTAGAAAGAATCTTGGCCGTGGTCGTAGTTCATTGGTGATTGTCAACGAGGGGAGTGGAAGTTTTTCAGGTAAGCCAGACTTCCAAGGTGAGCCGTAAGGCGAACTATTAGAGTGGGTAAGCGCCTCTACTTTTATTATAGTGGGTAGAGGGTTTCTGAGCTAACTGGCCATGTTGGTACCACCACAATTGTAGTAATTATTTCATTGATTGATCAACCAGTGGGATATTCTCTTACGTACAGAATTAACGGGCTTAACAAAGCTCTTCGATGCGCTTCGCGTCTCTGTTTGTTCGTCCCAGTCTCTGTTCGGGTCTCTCCTTCAGCATGGCTCTCTCTTAGAGCCTTGTACCTTTATTGAGATTTTTTTTAGGATGGGTGTAGCTTTCTTTCATGTAGGAATTTATCCCGCTGTAATGTAATATATAGGAGTTCTCCCGGCTTTCTTTATGATAGTTGTGTTCTTTCTATTCCTTCCAGCCGAGGGATAAGAAGGGTAAAAGAATGAAAGGTAAGCATGTCGTGTCGACGCACGCGAAAGGCTATCAGTGTACAAGTCCACTTCGATAGCCAAGCAATGAGGGAGTCTGAAGATACTTCCAGTTCGCTGGACTTAGTTTTAGATACTCCAAGCCTCGTTATGTTCATTCTTTTCTGTAACGGATTTCGATATTTAATGTACAGGTCGGTTGGGAACCTAATAAGACAAGCCAAGCGCTTAGCTTAGTTCGGCCGTTTACAAATTAGAATACCGAAACTGAGAATTCCATATGCCCTAAGACAGATGCCACTAAACAAGTAAAGGACAACAGACAGTATTCGTGGATCGGGAAGACCAACTCTCATTCAAGGAAGCGGACCGTTGACGACAGCAGGCCGGGAAGGAATAGAAAGCGGGGATAAGGTCTCAGTGTAGTCGATGTCCTCTTTCAGAGTGAACCCCTTGGCGACAAGCCTGGCCTTCTATCTCTCAATCTTGCCTTTTGATTCCCTATTGGTCTTATCAATTTACACCCTACGGGCTTTAGGCTTGGCTCATTTTCTTTCTCTCCCTCTTGATGTCTTGTCGGCCTAACCTAGGAGTTATCTTTCCCGGAAAGATAGTAGTGGCGCTCTCTTCGCATCCTTTGACTTTCCATGCTTCGTGAAGGGCTCACTTTCGATCAAGGTAATTTATGCCTGCTCTGGTTCCCGGCAAAGAATGGATGAGCGCTCATGAGTTCCCACTATCGAATCATCTCAGTTCGTTCCTATTCCGGGCATTGAAAGCTGAAATAAAAAGACATCAAGGCCTAAGTCAGACAATGATGATCTTCTCTTAAAATAGCAAGAATAGCTTAGCTGGTGGAGGACTCTGCACCCAGTAAGGTCGACACTTTCAGTCAGGAAGATGCTTTTCCACCCAATCGGCCGAAGCATTGGCTAATCTGTTCACCCTTTATACCGACCAGCTGTGGTGGGACATCAGGAGTTGCTGCACATCACTAACAATAGGCCTCAGACTGCGATCTGTAGATGACTTTTGACTATGAAAAGCTTTCAAGACCTGAGATGAATCCGTTTTCATACATACAAACATAAGATAGCTGTAGATAAAAAGCCAGGTCAGAACCTTTCCTAAGTGTAAGTGCATGAGCCTCCGCCATGTCCACCGAAGAAAGAGTCATTTTATTTTCTTTATCGCCGAGCGTCTTTCGAGTCTCATGTTGACTTTTCTCTTTCATGTGAGACTTCGCCTTAAGAACTAGGGCTGAGCCCATACAACTATTATTGTTTTAACACTACTCTGCGGGAGATTGGTATTAAACCGAAAGCCTAACCTGGACTACTAATGGCTTCTTCTCTTGTTAGAGGAAGCCCTGATTCTCAGTCTTCTTTATGTTACACGTAGCAACTCTTCTTGTTCAATCCTTTAATCGGAACGACGAGAGAGTGACTAAGCCGAAAAGGCCAATAGCATTTTCTCTAGCAAGTGTATTCAACACTATATTAGAATGAGATAAAGCCTCAGCTTTTTTCGCCGTTTGTTTACACCTTCCTTTTGAACTCAGCTTTCACGTCTTTAATCCTCGATTGAGCTAGTCACTGGCGAACGCTTCCAAAAGAGACCTACCTCTACTCTAAACAAGAGCCGAGCCTTCGGGTATCAGACTAGCTGAAAAACCTAGTACGTAAGGATATAGTTCCTTTCCTCAAAACCAGTCATCCGAGTGGGGCCCTGCGACAGGTGCCATATTTAGGTTGCTTGCGACTGATACTTTTAGGGATTATTTCCATCTTCCCTTAATTAAGGGATTGAGAGAACATCCGGTCGGGAAAGAGCCACTACTTGGTTCAATAATTAATTGAAGGAAAATTATATCCCTCTTCGACATCAGATTCTTATCCTCTTTTCCGGGGAAATTTTGTTTTCTTCTCTACGGCCCAAGGAAAAAAGTGGTCTACTTTATTGAATCTTATTTCAACAAGGGGTGTCGCTTTCGTTTTCAATAAGGACGTTTAGTAGGAGGTACTTGCCCTTAGAACCATAAACATTTGCGAGTCGCCTTTTTACATGAAAGGTGGGTAAGGACTGCCAAAGAGCTCGAGTAGATTCATGAATGTCCTGGAATTTTAGTATGGGCTTAACAGGTCGAGAGAGTCTTATGCCGCGCAATCTCTTGCCGAATCTATTTATACTATGTTAAATCCATAACCCGAGAACACACATTTGCAAATCCGGCCCTCTTTCGTTCGTCGTGATTGCTTTGATTGCTCTGAAAACACCCCCTCTCACTCAGGGGTAGCGATCAGATCTTCCTGCTTCAGCGGTTACGAATGGCGATTCTTACCACAAAATTAGACATTCCACTTTGAATGCTGTTTTCTTTCGCTTTGTTTTGGCTTCCATCCCTGAGCTTTAGCCCTAGCTTTCTTACGAAGAAGAGGCTTTCTCAGATCATATGGGGGAATAAGACTCAACAACCGGTCGTTCAAGTTCAAGAAGCAAACCTAGGAAAAGGGAAAAGTAAAAGACTTGGAGAAAGAAATAAACTTTGAATTTTGGCATAGAAGAAGAATTCATCCATATAAGAAACAAAGAAAAAGATTTCGTGGGGGTGGCGCTGGAGTCAGATCAATCCGACGCGGGATCTATAGGCTCCGAATATCCAGTTAGTTTAGGATCCCGGGGACTGGAACGGGCGAAGCCATTGGATTGATTAGCCCAGGCGAACAGGAATGTGGTCGTCTAGATCGTACCTGCGGAAAGATTAGGTGGACCCCTATACATTCATTGATTAGACCGAAACCAATCGAAGCGATCGAGCTACCCGCATTTTAGTTTTGCTTTATCAAGCAGGGGCTTAGCCGCTTCTTTCTATTATTTCTTATATTTCAGGCAGCATTGGGAAAAAAAGAGACAAAACGTCGAATGGCTAAAAAGCCCTATTAATGTATGTGGAAAGTCTATACTTAACACACCGACTCAATTGGAAGCTGACTCCTCACAGGGTTCGAAAGTGAAGGTTTCAATCATATTTATAACACTGAAAAAGGCATAACATTGATTTACACTCGATAACTAAAATTGAAATTGGCAAATTATTCATTTAATGATTCACCTACGCGTGATACTGATCTTTGCATACCAAGGGGCTGACCTGAACTAATGTCCTATACGAGACGAAGGCTAGGGATGAAATGGCAAGTGCCGCATCTCCTTCCACAGCGGATGATTCATATCTATCTCTATCTTCAGACTTGGGCAAAACAAAACTTCTATGCGATGAAACAAAGGAACAACATTCATTCCCTAAAGAAAAAGAAAACCATTACCAAGCCAAAAGATAATTTTAATTTCACAACCGAGATCGCAAGCATGGATCAAAGACGGAATCTCCTCAAAAAGAAGCGCTATCGATACAAAATGCTATAACGATTCACTAATGGAAGTCTTTCGATGATCCAGCTACTCAGACTGGACTCCTTTACTTAGTGGGTAGGAATTAAATATTGAGTTTGTTATTCACGGAGCTACCACTACTTGAGCTTACACCCGGACTCTTACTGTAGTCTCATTTCCAGTATCCTATAAAAGAAAAATACAAGTCCGTTTTTATATTCCTTATAGCACGGGTATAGATTACCTCACGGGATGAACTTATTAAGTTATATTAATACCATAATCGGGTGTTCAAGTAATTACCATTCAAGTCTCAAGCTTCCGGCAACCACTTATCCCAAGGTAGGTGCGAAATTAATTCCGGATGGAGCAATAATATTAAATTTAAAAATTTTCTTTCTAGGCTTCGACGTATGTAGATTCGGCAAATGTTTCCACATCTCGGATCCTGGGTTCACACTCTAGGAGTCCCTTTCTTCGGGAAGTGACGGATCAATCTTTCATTGAAGAGAGGAATTGGCACATTAGAATCAAAGATGAGCCGGCTTCCTTATTCTTTTTTTAATCACTGGCATTGTAAATGACTGGAAATGGCAGGGCAAAGACGAGTAGGGGCGGATGAAGATAAAGAAAGAGAATCCGCTGTCTGCAAGAATAGGCTGTTACTGGTCTTTTAGGTGAGGCTCTTTACAGGAGTGATCTCTCTAAGGTGGATAGATAGGATAGAATGAGTCTTAAGACTAGTCTTAAGAAAAGAAGCATATAGCTTCTAGCTGAAGTAGCATGATATATAGCTAGTCTTCACTAATGTTAAAGCGCTTTCCCCCTTGGGAAAGATAACATCGTCTGAGCCCTTATCTATTGACGATAGAAATTAGGAACGTTAAGCAAACCAAGCAACCAAAAACCCCAGGAATGTATGTAGAAAAGAGGGATGTTGTTGAATAGTTCTCTTTGACTTCGGATTGAGACTTGAAGCTTTAGCCTGAAGGAAGACAAGATCAAGAACCCACTGTTTTGTGCCACGCGCTTGAGCTTTCTCCTTTCCCCCTAATTTATATGGACTTCCATTCTTGTTTTCTAATAGAGGGAAAGCCGCTCTCCTTTATGTTCGGGTATGCCTTTACTTGTCGTTAGGAGAAGTCGTATCATCTTGTAGTTCTAGGATTGGTTTCTGTCTTGCCTAGTAAGGCTGGTAAGTAAAGTATTGTCTAGTTCTTCGAGATTTTATTTTGAAGACTAGATCACCACCACCGCTTCACCTTCTACCCTCTGATTTACAGAAGCTTTCTCGCTACCAGAGAGTGAAGGAAGTTATACCGGCTATTTACCAGGCCTTCAGGTGCCCATTGGACTGATTGATCATATCTTCAAGATATACCTTCTGGTGGAATTTTGTCTTTTTTACTTCTTGGCAATAGAGAGGAACCTTACACTATCCCCTTCCCTATAACCTAAAAGGACTTCTTTCTCACCAAGCACATACATATGCTTTTTGGGAGCAGATGAACCATCCAATGAAAACTTAGTAATTACTCAGTAGGTTTGACGGAGGTTTTGAGTCTTACAAATTCAACAGGCCCCTGTTCCCTCCTAAAAACTATTTGCCATGCTAAACCAAAGGGATTCCGAGATCGGACTCAGATCCTATGATCGTGGTTCTGTGACGAAATAAGGGTCTTCCTATAAGTACACCTTAAATTTTAGGTTTACCTCTATAGGGCGGGCGGCTAGGGAAAGACCTATTCCATTCAATCCATATTCAACCCTATCCTTTTACTCTGCTGGTTTAACATAACTCCCAGCGAGAAGTAAAGCAATTCCAATATGCAGAGCCTATAAGGTTTAGCATAAACTATGTGTAACTCCTTTATTTTTAGTAAGGCGATAAGTGGAGCTGAATGAAGCGGTGTTTTCCTTATATCGATTCTGACGTGCATCATGTTCCTTCTCATTCGATTTAGACCGATCACGGATATCCGCCTTTCCATTTGACGGCATTTCTATGTTAGTAAAGAAAGCGGCAGATCAATCACTTACCTTTCGTTAGCGGTTTCGCGACTCTAATATAGATGTTTCCTTTATATACTATGAATAGCTGTTTTGCTTTTTTTTGTTCTTTCATCTTGAATCGTTTTCGAAGAATCTCGAGAGTAATAAGTCGCCAGCCTAAAAATTAAGCCTGTATCTATATAACTCGTTTCAACATGACGAAATCGAGATAACATTGTTAAATTTGGGTAGGGCATGCACTTCGAAACGCAAAAAAATCCGCACTACGTTCCGTCAGAAAGCAAGCCCCATCTTCTATTCTTATCATTTGTTCACTTATTTCACTTACTTTCAAAAAGCGGTACTGGCACTAGTCAATCATCGTGCCTTTAGCCAATGATGGATTTACAATCACCGCGGTTTTTCGGAGAATACCACTTTAGCGGCGACTAAAACTAAAGCGTATGGCCTTGTGGAGGTTTCTAAGGATCGTTAATCCCAATGGACAAACCTTGGATCCCATTAGCGCGGGCGCCGGTAATACTCTATCTTAGAGCTCATAAAGGTGCTGGGAGCATTTTAGTAAAGCGCGTTCAAATAGCATGAGCTTTTGATACTTATGAGATCGATGATGTATTGAAATTCGTCTTTCATTGTTGTTCTTTTGACGGTGTAATAATGCGATGTACCTCCTTATATTTATATAGGACTTTCGATCTACCTTGGCGAACTGTCGTCGAGAAAGGACAACAAGGACTTTCCCCTATGTTACGTTTTGTCAACATATACTATTTTTATGGGCGGTGCCGCGATTACTAGCGATTCCCCATGCTAGAGCGCGCCTACATCCAATAGGTACTCAATTCTATTTTAGGGCAATAAAGAACTTAGAGCAAGATAATTATATATCCGATATGTACCTTCCTTCCATCCAGGAGTACCCGTTTATCAGTGATCTCTTGGAAACCAACATAGTCCAGTGTACCAAATAGTGGTCGGATCCTAGATTTAAAAGAGTCATTCTCCCTGATCGGGCGGGAGTAAGAAGAAGAAGGAGCACTTTAATCTTCCCTTCCGGGCTTACAAGACGAGACCTAGATGGTACGTTATAGGATATTCGAAAAAAAGCAAGTAGGACAAAATGACTGAGGTAAAATGGCACGCGGTAGTCATTCAAACAAAAGACGCTGAGGAACCTCCATCGAGCCACGTGATCCGCTACAACTCACACAAACAAAGACTAGGTTCGGCTTCTCAAAAGAAAAGGGGGGGAGAAAAGAGGACAGGGGCGCTCCCCGCTAACCGAAGTCTTGGATTTTTCTTTCTCGGAACCTTCCCTTACCTTTTATTCTCTTTAAATATTTCGTATTAGTGCAAGGGGGCCTTCTTTCTTGAAGTTGTAATGGCACAAGAGGACGATTCTAGGCTTCAGATAAGCAAACAAACCTGTGCTCCCTTTTTCCAGTTGTAGCAACTCAAGTCCGTAAGCGGGTTCAACGGAAAATCCAAGGTTTTCTCGAATCAATAAAAAGATAATAATAAGGTCAAATCTAGCTATTCCACCTTTCGCTGCTAGTTAGTGGTCTGGTGGTAATGAAATTATAAATTCGTCTTGGCTCCCACCGAACCTCTTCTTAGAGCCTTTCCTTGCCCAAGCAAGGGCTATGCTATAAGAAGAGAAGGAAAGGCTTGGTTTAGGGAACCGGCCCCCCCAGTCGCTAAAGTAGTTCATCGTTTAGAGCCGCCCAATATTAGTTCTACAGCCCCCAGTTAAAGACCGAGAAAGCCTTCACTAAAGCATAACTAAACCCAAACTTGGATGACATTATATTTTTGGGGTGGGGTTCTCCTGAAAAAAGGAAGTTATTTCCTGGACAGACCATCTAATAAGGGCAACTGCGACGACGAAACCCCTTGCTTTAGCTTATCTAAAAGCTTGGGGCGTGTAGCTCTCCGTACAAGTAAGAAAGTTAGTGCCGTGTAGCCCTAGGCGAAGAAAAAGAAAGAATAAGGAGTGAGAACCAAGGAACTCCAGAGAGGTTGGTTACGAAGCTGGTCAAAAAGCTAGTACATCATCTCCACCTGGAATTGGAAAGTGCTAAATAACTCTTTTATTAGCGGCAACTATAACTTTATCTGCTTATTCAGTGAGGAGGGCAGCATCTGCCTTTGAATGGAATCTAGCTAGGGCAAAAGGTATACCTCGACCTGGGGTGGGGGCAGAACAAAGAAAACCGCAAAGAAAGAAGGGACAATCTATCTGAATTAGAGATTGCACAGGCTTTCTTGAATTAATTACTTTCCGCGGATCTATTCGTAAAGCTTTATATCTTCGCTTCGGGCTTATAGAGCCTAACGGAATAACTTTCTTTGGTATTGGGTAGGTGGATTAGAAGAAGAGCAAGGTCATTGGTTTGCTAAATAGAAATGGAGATGGTTCTTCTGGGTTCAAATCCCCGTCTTTGAATTGGCTCGATCTGTATTGGCCACATCCTCCATTGGTAAGCATCACTAACTAAGAGTTGAGTTGCATCTTTGCTTCTCTTTCTTTCCTGGTCTTTTCGGAGGGTAAAGGTGAACTCGGATGGGTGCGCCAAGGGGTGAGGCTGGATAAAATCATTAGAGATGCCCGTGGGCTTGTGACTTGGGAATCTGTAGTCGTCTTAGGCGGTCCGGTACCTTCGTGGTACTAACATGGTCTACAAAACCTAAGTGAGTTTGCATCCAGTCATGGATGGATGACAGTCATGCAGCTCACACCTTAGGTCATACCAAGGTGCCCTATCTATATAGGGTTCCCACGCAATGATGGGTTGGTGTCGAAGACCAATCTTGTGAAGGACGCAGAGGGCTAATTCCTTCTCGTCGCTCAATCTGGAGTAAGAAGCCGGCTACCAGCACGAGTGTACACATCTTGGGATGGTACATCTTGTGACCACCAGCATTGCAGGGCACTGAATGATAGTTTTTATTCTCCATCCTGAAGCCTTGGCTTCGCACCCTAACGGGCTTATGGGTACTGGTGGGAAGAGGGCGTAAGCAAAGTGATTATGAATCGTTTTGCCTCCTTCCCTGATTCGTCTTTCTCCATTACGGCAGTTCTTCGAAGACTTCTCTCGACTCCTAATCTAAAGCTAGTGGAAGTAGTCCTTTTTAAGCTGTTTATGGCCAAAATCCCGAGAGTCCTCTGGACTTAGCTCCACTTCCAGCTACTCACAACTTTAGTGGAGATGCGGTTGAAGAAAATTTATAAGTTGCATGAGCGAGAAAATTTCTAACTAAGCAAAATGAGAAGTATCAAGCTCAAGCTAACAAGCATCGCAAGTTTTCTGAGTTCAAAGAAGGTGATCTGGTGTAGGTTCATCTTCGAAAGGAGCGTTTCCCGCGAGGACAATTTGCTAAGCTCAAGCCTAGAGCTGATGGACCATTCAAAGTTCTCAAACGCATTGGTGAAAATGCCTACAGGATTGAACTATCAGCTGAGTATGAGGTTTCAGAAACATTGAAAGTTTCTGATCTTTTTCCTTATTATGGTGAAGAAAGAACTAACGACTCGGGGGCGAGTCTTCTTCAACTTGACGGGGAAAACTAGAAATAAAGGAAGTAGTTTTGGCTGGGTAAATTTCTTTAGAAATGTTATAAATAAAAGAGAGGGGCTTTCTTTCTTCAGCATGTGAGGGAAATGCCCCGGGTACCGAAGTTAGCGGATAGAGAGGGCGGCGGGTGGAGGGAGCTTCACTTACCGAGAGGGATGTTATTCGAACGACAGAATGGACGGGCACGGACAGAATGAATCGCCCGACTGGAGCATAAATGCATTATTAGAATCAGAAAAGTAAGAATACGATCTTGTCGCAATGGAATCCGTAACTGCAGCTATTGAGTCTGTTGTGGGCCTAGAAGAGAGCTTTCACTGGCTTTTTATTAGGATGGATGTAGATATAAGTCGTCTCTTGGCCAGGGCATTGGCAGAGCAGCTTCCACTCCTCCCTTCGATAAGCTTCCTTTTTTGGGCACTGGACCTAGTTACCGCTCCATGGGAACATCTATAGATTCCGCTATCGGGAAAGTAAGGCATGGAATCACGCTAAGGTAAGGTTTCTATCTAATCCATCTAGAATAGGATCTACTCTATCTATTTAATTTTCCACATCTGCCTGGCTGACTGAATAAACAAAAGGAACCATAGCTAATACTGATCGATGAGCCTTCTCTCTCCTTGATCTGTCTAGTTCTATTTTGACTAATCCGAATCTGTGGACTGAGTGAGTAGCTAACTAAAATATAAGATTTGAGGATATAGGAGTGGGGCTATTCTTCGCACCGATAAAATCATTAGTAAATCTCGTTATCTCCACGGGTTAAGGGCAGAATCAGACCTTGGGGAACCGGTACGAAAGGGAGCTAGCTAAGGCAGCAAGCCAAGAAAGGCAGCATAGTAGGCCTTTTAGAAAGGAAGCCAACTCTTGTTCGACGTAGGGTAGAGTAACTTATTTCATTCCTGGGGTTTTCCATCCGGGCTTTAATGCGGCTAGAGACGGAGACTTTCCCAGTGAAAGCGCTGGCGTTCAGTTTGGTTGCGTGCTTTCCGATCTCTTTCCCTTCCTTTCTGTGGTAGCATGTTTGCTAGTCTTGTCGGACTAGGAGCTCTACTAGGCTTGACCGTGGTAGATTTACTTATTCTTGCTCAAGTCAAGTGGAATCAGTTTCATTTGGCTCTAGACTACGATTCAATAGAGAACGATTTGGCACATCTTCGATTTCCTGGTATGAAAGCTTGGTTTTATTTGAGTTCAAGATATTCGGGTCTTTGCTTTTGCTCTTTGTGATCCTTGTCTTTAGCTTGGGACTTAGCTTGGCACCAGGGCGGCTTGCTCATCGTGCTTATGGCTTGGCCAATTGACATTGTATTCGATCGAGTGCTCTTATTTCACAACGATAGGTGGGTTACCCTTTCTTTGAACCTTGTCAATGATCGAACTTAAAACAACGGGCGGCCTACCTGACAGCTATCAATCATGAACTAGCAGGATGGACTGCCTTTGAAGCCGGTATTGTTTATATAAATTAGACTTTAGAATAACAACTCGCTATCCGTGCTTCCTTTCTATCACTACTAAAATTCTTTACTTACTCCCTTGCTATAGCTTGCCTTACTTGATAGCTTCGCTTGTTTACAGGTACAGGATAGGTCGCTAAGCTCCCTCTTCATATCTGTGGGGCCAGGCCAATAGTAGTACTTTTTCGCTTATTCTTTCTGGGCGAGGGCACCCCCTTTCAAGTCTCAAGGTTTGGAACCAACTCTACTAGGTTGAGGAACCCACAGGCAGTATAATGTTACCCCACCTTCCGTAGGCATTTTCAGGGAGTAGCCTGCTTAAGCATACACTTGTATTGGGCTGCGGAGGATCCCGAATCCCGGGGATCCCGAGGCGGCTCCCGCTCCAAAATAAGACCATCACTGGAAAAGAAATAACAAATAATACAACACCCTCACGATTCAAAAAATGAATATTCGTCAAGGTCGGCATCCCGGATTCCCTTGTTCCGGATATCGGCAAAGATCAAATCAGCCTCACGTAAAATGGCATTGTTATTGGGGTTTTCCGCAATAACTTGCAAGATGTGAAGTAGGCCTTCTTTACTATTTAATCTATCTTTCGCAACGAGCTCAAAGACCCGCCGCGCCTTGTTGTGGGACGGCATCGGTCCCCCATCAGGTGTCCCCATGCTATGGACATACGTCAGAATGACACGGTGAAGAGCCCAATACCCGTTCGGTAGGTTTGGACTCTCATGGCGGTCATCTGTGTACACTGGGGGCTGTTGCGCCGGTGGATTCGCTACAGGTGGTGCTTGTTGGCCGGCAATCATAGGGTAAGCGGAGAAAGTTTACATGTTGGGCCAGGCTAGTTTGCTTCGATGGTAGGAGTCCACGCAGTGAGGCAGCCATTTCCAGTGACCTTTTTGGGGGTTGGTTCTATACGAGGCAATCGAATATGGTCCCTGTCTGTCATCCAATCCAATAGGCATTTAGGGATCCCCGATTGTAGATTGTAGTGAGCTTTTGGTAGTCCTATGCCTGTCTCTCCAGCTTGTCTATGTCTATGGGTTTGCATATGTCTTTTCAAGGGCTGGCTTTTTATAATGACCTTAAATGAAAGCGCAAGAGCTAATGATAAGGAGCTAAAGGCCTACATTCTAGTATACCAGGATCGTCACGAGAGGATTGGGGAAGGTCTAACTATGGACCGGACCATAAGACGCAGTTTCTTATGGCCTAGTATAGGATATCTTTATGTTCCGCTGAAAAGAGATAAGCACTAAGAAGACGACTATTTTGTGTTGAATATGCTTTCTTCCACATAGGCTAGCTTCCTCCTTGTGGCGAACAAGACTGAGAATTCTTTATTCTATTTAGATATATATATATCTATTATAATATAAGAATACGAGTCACGCTCTCTCTTTTTTCGCCCTTCTTCCCGCTATACTTATCTCTTTTGGACCTTGTCACAGCCTAAAAACCCCATCTTATTTTTATGATTCGGATTAGTTCAAATAGCCTTGATAAAGACCAAGACCCAGGGCATAGGATGGAATGATTTTCCTCACCAAAGCCTTCGATCATCATGGAATCACGCACGTTGAGAGATGAGTGATCCACGCGAACTAGCCAAGTGCAAAGTCTTAGCGCGGGGACCCCTCCACAGCTAGGTTATTTATTTCCTATACCAAAGCTTTTCGGCTGGGCTGGGCCTATTGCGAGCCCACGTCAGGTTTTCCAATGACTTTGCTTTACCTTGTCCTCTAGTTGGTTGGCCGAATCATCTCTTCCACCATAGTGGGAATGCTTTTGTCTAGCTGTTATAAACATATGAAAGACCGGCCCAGTTCGTATCAGGGCTTCTGTTTGTGGAAGCATGTAATCTTAAAAAAATAAATAACCTGTAGCTACGGCCGTCCCTGAACTTTTGCGGCATTTCCCATGGCATGGGCATGAGCACAGCACCTATGTATGGGCAATACCTCCCTATATTCTTTGCAAGAGACCATTCCCTCACAGTCGATGCTCCTTCTTGCTACAAAGGCACCCTTGAAACTTGGAAGATTTATTCTAGTAAGATGGTAGGCAAAGTCTAGCAGGGGCAAGCCTAAACCTCTACTTCCACCGTCGCAGCCTATAACTCTAAAGCTAGAGTATAGTATATCTAAAGTGCGCTTTTGGCTTATTTATCGTTTTAGTTGAAAATGTCACTTGCACAACTCTTCATAACAGCCCCTTCTATGCCTAGTGCTTTTGCAAATGGGCAATTTATGGGCATCTGAGAACAAGCCCTTAATTTTATTCTTCAATTGCGCAAACCAAGACACCTACTCTTTTTATGTTTTCTGAACAGCGCAAATTATTGAGATGCTAAAGAGGGACTGGACTGGCCAAAGGGATAAGGTACATCCTGTTGATGTTGAGCATTCTATTCTTCTTGCTCACTCAAGATATACTGACTTGTTTTCATGGAGCGAAGAATGCTTTCTTTCTCGCTTACTCGAGAGCTAACCTAGAATAAAGAGTCTTTGACACGGCGTCAATATGGCTTAAAGAAGGTCGCTATGCCTCGAAGAGTTATATCGTAGCGCTTTCAAAAAGATCTTTTTTATCCTTATCCTCTGTAAGCTAAAAGGATATATTCTTAGGTAGTGACTCAATAGCTCTCCCCTCTAGTTTTCCCCCAATCCTCTCCTGCTCATAATAGGGCTTTCAAGGGCTATGTCATCTAGAAAAACGGATCCATTAGCATTAGTTTCCTTCTTTTTTTTTCTTTTTTGGTTGGAGCCTATCTTATATGCTTTCTTATGCCTTTGCAGTGCCTGAACGTTTTGTTTTGGTAAGGGACACGAGTGAACAAAGGAGAGGTTAAACCGCTTACTAGCGGCGAAAGAGCTTCTATATCGAAGTTCCACATCTTTGTGACAAAGACGATGCTAGTCTTTTCGACGAATTACCTGTTGGAGGAATACTATAGGGACTTTTCTCTCGAGAGATGGGGCATATCCGCTCTTAGCAGCATTCCTCCTCAGATGGACAGAGCAGAGCCTTATTAGTGATCAGTCCGCTAGTTTCCTGGATCCCACTCGGTCTTCCTTTTCCCTTTGCTCCATGGATAAGTCTCATTCGATGTCGCAACCGATGCTTAAAACATATTATTTATTCTATCTTCTCAGTATTCGATCGATCATTCTCTGCTTCATAGAGGAGGGGTTTCCCAGCTAACAAGGAAGCGGGATTTAAAATAGAGGTAAATTCTAAACTGGACCGAGGTGGCCTATACACCAATTGACCGACACCATTCCTGAAGAAACGAAGATCGTTGCAAGAAGACCCCCCCCCCCCCCCCCGTGTAAATGGCAGAAATTTGACAGCAGTAGAACGAACCTTGGGCTTGACATGACAGCACCTCGCGGCTCCCTTTCAAGATGAACAATGCGGCTAAGCGGGGTGGATGTGCCGATGGATGGAGGCGGCTGCATGCTGCATCTAAGAGTTTAGTTCCATGAGACTGAATAACATGGCCTGAAACGAAGTAAACTCACTTTGCTTAACACAGGGCAGCAGAGCAGGGCTTCTTTCTCACCCTCACCCGTCATCCAACATGGTTCGCACCAGCGTTATTTGACTCGCTTAGTCCATCGCTGCTTGGCTCTACTTCAACCACTACAGACGGTTCCCTTGCAGCTAAAAGAATGCGATAGAACACCTTTTCTTACATCAGGAGATGAAAGCCGTCAAGCAGGCAACAAAGTCGACTATTCGTCTTCACTTCCTCAAAAGTGCTAAAAAGAGCCCCTGAGTGCAGACCCATCCCCAAGGGACTAAACGCATTAAGTTATCTTTCAAAGAGCTTATTCGAGAACAACCTATTCTAAAAGCAACCTATTTTAATTTGAAAACAGCTTCTTTTAGGGATGACTATTCTGCAGCGGTAATTGCAAACAGAAAGGGAGCACCGCTTACTCAAGCACTAGTACCGTCTAAGCATCCCACAGCTGATGATTTATTTCCTTCAAACCTTCCACCAGGAGGATGCTACTTCTCTTTTCTATTCTTTTACAGATTACTTGCCCCTGGAATGCTTGCTGTCAGCAGTTAAGGGACAGAGGGAAGGTGACGAAGGTAATCCTACTACGGCACTAAGACTCATTCAGTCTATTTGGCGACTATTCCCACTGCACAGCTACTGCTGTAAGGAAGGAATTCGGTTTAAAGCTTGTTTTGTTGCGGGGAATCTGGTTTGAAATTTATTACACTCCTTCTCTCCCTCTTTCCTGTGCTAGCAATCCGGTAATTCGGTAAAGAAGTAAATCAGGAAGTCCAGTAAGCCAAGGAGAGATCCCGGGAAAGCCAAAGCTGTGCTTTCCTTACTTCTTCTTATACCCTTGCAGGGAAAACAAAATAATACATACCAATGCCTTATCTCGGCATTAGGAGTTCATTAAAAAGGTAAGAAGGAATGGCCAGATGTAAAGAGATGTCCCTGAGACTAGTTAAATCATAGAAGAAGGTAAAAGAGTAAGACTAGCAATTCAGGATAGAAGGACTAATTTACTTATATTTAGCCCTAGAGGAGATCGAGACTGGTATTAGTTACTTTACCGAGGCGAGGAGGGGAAGATAATGACATTGATAAAAAAACCTCTTCGTAAAGAAAGAACAGACTTAGAGCTTAGAGACGAATGCACCAAAGAAAGGTAAAGGTCAGACTCCTAATTCTAAGCAGCCTCCGATTCTTGCAACTCTCACATGAATTTACTTTTTTTTCGCTTTCACTAAGGGACAGAGTCTGTCTTTACAGCACAGTAGGGAGATAAAATTCATGTACTAGAGAGGAAAGCAAGCCAAGAGCTCTGACTTGAGGCGAAGAAACTAAGCTCACTTTCCGCGCCAAAGAGAATCCACTCGTTTATCTAGTAGGGAGAGAGAGACAGTCAGGGTTGACTTGAGTGAGTGCCCAGGATTTACCCAGGTGGGGCATCCTGGAATCTGACTTCGGAGTTTCGGTTGAATTGAAAAACCCCGCTATAATAATTTAAATGTCTCTTCTTGTTTGTTTTCATCGGCTAAGGGGCTCTTATTATTAACCAGAACAAGACTTGGCTTATACATTTTGCGAAGGAAAAATAAAGCTAGCTTTTCTAGGGCCAAAAGGGGGAGTACCATGTAGTTAGGAAGATGATCGATGCCTAAAGCATGTCTACTTAAGATCTCTATCCTTTCTGGTGATCAAGATATCCCAAGAAGAGAGACCTGACGGCGCGCCTTTACTAGAAGAGAAGGAAAGAAGACACTTACTAGAAATCTATTCCACTACCGCTTTCTTTCTCTCTGTCCACAGCCATGACTCACCCACCTTTCCATCCCCCCTCAAAGATCCACCCGATCGATGAATACTTGAACCGAACTCGCAGTGATCAAATCGACTTTGGAGAGTAAATCCATCCTCAGGGCAAGCCAAAGGAAGGACGGGATAGAGCTCCAAGACAGGCTGAAGGCAGAGAAGGATAGACGAGACAAGGAAGCAAAGGAGAAAATAAAGATCGGAATAGAATAGAGGTAACGGTTGAACGAACGGTAGACCCAACTCTGTATACTTAGCCGGAAGCAGGGCATTCCACCGATTCCACTTAGGGAGAAAGCCTTTCCCGTATCTATTTGAACCCGATCTCAAAATTTCTATCCGGTAGACTTGGTAAGGTAAAAGGGCCCCGACTTATTTTATTTCCAGAATTAGAGTTCGACCGCAGCTGCCCCTTTTTTGTTTTGGGGGGATCAAGTTCCTTGCCAACTATCGACCCCGATCTCTTTTCATTTATTTGGGGTATTACTAGCCTAGCCTTCGTCAATCACACTAAAGCAGAGCACCCAACTACGGCAAGGCCCCCTTAATTAAGGGTTAGGTTAGTAAATCCGGCCCGAGACGCATTCGTTGACAAAACCGCCGTAGGAATGGAGACCTTTCAATAGAGCGGAGGCGAACTGATCAACGAGAAAGAGGCCCTACTCACTACAAACGAATACACCACAAGATCGAACTGCACTCATGCCTCTGCCGCATCAAGTTGACCGACCCCCTAAGTAGTTCTTCTATCAATCATGTACGTAGGTAGGGTCCCCCATTCTGATTGGTATATCATGAAAAATAAAAGCCATTTGCACCAGGCGCACTGCGCTTTCCCTTGCCTAGATGTTCGCCTTTCTAAGTCAAGTAATGGTGACCCGCCGAAGACTGGAGCCTCATAACATGTTGACGAAGACCCCCGAACTGAGGGTTCGATCAGTAGAGGGGACGACTTAGCCTCCCCGGAAGAAGAATAGCCCCGCTCTCTAGCCGACTGATCCCGTTGATCATATAACTGGGAGGGAACGTGTCACATTAGAGGTGAACGATCAGAGATGTCCGATAATTACCACGATGAGGCTGGTCCCTCTTTTATTTTTGTAGACTAAGCTATGAATATGAATGAATGCTGGGCTCTTTCTTTCACTGCTAACCCCAAGAAGTTTCTTAATGCTGATATTTTTTGTTTCGTCGAGCCCCGAGCTTGTGGTCCTCCTTTGAGTGTGGGTTCCATTGGATGAATCTCTCAAGTCAAGGTTCACGTACATAGCAGCAAGAATGGTGCAGCGCCTATTTATCGTTCTCGCTCGGGAGCCAAAACGAACACGCCTGCTACCTACTGTACTGGACCTTCGACCAGGCATTATACCCTTGTCGAATCGGAACCAACCACCACTGTATTGCGCTCGAACAGTTGAGCGGCCGCCGGCCAGCAACTTCCGTACCGTACACAGATATAGATTCATTCTTCGTACCTGGTCCAACTTCACAACCCTTCGCGGGTTGGTCAGAAGTCAGTCTTGTTTGGTAAGACTCTATTGAACAAAGCAAAGAAAAGAGAGTGCTCGACCGGAACAACGGCCAACAAAGACCGTAATTACATAGATAACAGCTCCTCCCTTTCTCCGGCTTTAAGGCGAACCGTATGGCGGCTGGAAAGAAAGACGACCTCACCTTCTCGTAGATGGTGTCAGTGAGAGCAACTTTAGTATCCCCCGTTGACCTTCTTTTGTAGATAGAATCTTCAATGAGTGTAAACAACTTACTAATAAAGGTGCGCTTGTTGAGTAAGGTCGTTTTATTGCAGGAGTGCTAACGCGCGCCCTTATTCTTCGCTTGCTCCGCAGTACGAGCCTCATACAGAGCCCCTTTAATATGATGAGGAGAAGGCCAGACCCAACCCCGCCCTCTTTTCTGCACCAATCTTTATTTACGACTATATTTTTATATTTGGGGTGTATAGCTCAGTTGGTAGAGCATTGGGCTTTTAACCTAATGGTCGCAGGTTCAAGTCCTGCTATACCCAAACAAACCTACCTTACACTATACCTATGAATTAATAAGGATGCGTAGTAACGTTCAAAGATCACTCTTTGGCCTTTAGACTCGCTTCAGCGACTTCGCCCTTTAAGTGAGTGAGAAGGGGGTGAGGTAAGGAGTAGTATAAGAGTGGCTCGGTCGCCTCTCCTTATTTGATTCATTCTATAGGGCGGGGCTGCAGACCAACAATCCAGCAAAAGGGCTTAAAAGCTCCTTTATAAAACCTTCCCCTTTTAATAATAATAAGGTAAGCATCAAAGCCCAGCAAACCCAACCTATACAAAGAGCTCTTTTCAGCCCCTACTCCCAACAAGTGAAAGTAGCTGGCACCCACCATACCTTGCTTGCTTCGGGGCCGATCTCTTGTATCGAAGCAAACATATATATAAATATATATATATATATATTAGTTCCACCACAAATCGATTTCGCCGCTTAGATTGGATTAATGAGAAAAAGTGTATTCAATTCAACCATTCGCATGGTCTCCCCTAAGACTGACCTCTTTTCCAAATGAACCGAACCTCGATACCACATTCATCAAAGAGATACGGCCATCTCTCTAGGTTGCACACCCCTTTAGATTAGATCTTTCTATTCGTGCTTGAAAAACGACCCCGCTCCTCATCCTCAATCTGGCGGTCCCTCTCCTAGCGCTCAAGGAGTTGC